CAACCCCCCGGCCCCTTCGCCCACCGGCTCCACCGGCAGCGGCTGAACCCCGGCGTGTTCCCTTGGGGAGGCCTGGGCTGCCTGCACGTGCAGCGCTGGGGCCGTTACGCAACTCCCAGAAGTGTGGGGTCCCAGCCCAGGGGAGGGGACACCTCTCCCGGCAGCAGGGTGGGTCCCCGGGCTGACAACGCAGCTTGAGAACAATTCCCACCCGCCAGCTCCGGCCAGCCCTGCGGTTACATGGGCAGGGCAGAGGCCTCCCTTGGGGAGGCCTGGGCTGCCTGCACGTGCAGCGCTGGGGCCGTTACGCAACTCCCAGAAGTGTGGGGTCCCAGCCCAGGGGAGGGGACACCTCTCCCGGCAGCAGGGTGGGTCCCCGGGCTGACAACGCAGCTTGAGAACAATTCCCACCCGCCAGCTCCGGCCAGCCCTGCGGTTACATGGGCAGGGCAGAGGCCGCAAATCCGAGGTGACTTTCTGCCAGCAGGAGCATCTCATGAAACGTGGGCTGGACAAATGCTGTATGGCCTGATCCTGGCTCTAACCACTAGACCCCACTCCCCTCCCAGAGCTGGGGAGAGAAGCCGGGGGTCCTGCCTCCAGCCCCTCTCGGCTCTAACCACTAGACCCCACTCCCCTCCCAGAGCTGGGGAGAGAAGCCGGGGGTCCTGCCTCCAGCCCCTCTCGGCTCTAACCACTAGACATCACTCCTTTCCCAGAGCTGGGAAGAGAAGCCACATCCCCCCCAGCCTCCTGGGGCTATCTGAGGTCAGGGGGCAACCTGCCATGTGCCCTCCAGGGTGGGGGAGGGGGCTGTGCATCCTCCGGGGCAAGAGGCCGGTCCTCCCCACGCTCCGAGTGTCACCTGCCCCCTCCCATGCTCCTGCCGGGGCTGGGGCCACGAGCCACCTGCCCTCCTCCTCCCAGGGGGGAGGTTGGGGCTGCCCACAGGGGGAGGGGTGGCCTGCCCCTACAGGAAGGGGAACTTGGCTCCCACGGAGCCCGGCGAGACAGGGCAGGGCCTCAGATAGTGGGGGTGAGTCCTCCCCACGCTCCGAGTGTCACCTGCCCCCTCCCATGCTCCTGCCGGGGCTGGGGCCACGAGCCACCTGCCCTCCTCCTCCCAGGGGGGAGGTTGGGGCTGCCCACAGGGGGAGGGGTGGCCTGCCCCTACAGGAAGGGGAACTTGGCTCCCACGGAGCCCGGCGAGACAGGGCAGGGCCTCAGATAGTGGGGGTGAGGCTCCTCCAGCCGAGGCTCCCCTCTGCCCGGAGTGCAGGATCTGGCCTGTGTTGTGTATTTTTCTCTTACCCCAGTCTGGGGTTGCCACATCCTTTTGCCCGGCTCCTTGTAGCAGAGACACATCAAAGCTATGGAGAGGGGCGAACTCAGGTGAAGCCAGTGACCCGGGGTGCCTGGCTTCACGGAGACAGCGGATTGATATACATGGCAGGCAACGTTCCCTCTCACGTTTCCCAGCCATGTGCAGAATAAATTTTGTTCAGTGCACTGAGGCAGGTGCAGGTGTGCACCACCTACAGAAACACAGGCTGCCTGCGGTGGGCACTCTGCTAGTCAGCTGGATGGTATCTGAATTGCTGCTGGGTGCCCACCTGAGTGCAGAAGGGAGGTGGCTGGAAGAAAAGGCAGCAGGCAACGTTCCCTCTCACGTTTCCCAGCCATGTGCAGAATAAATTTTGTTCAGTGCACTGAGGCAGGTGCAGGTGTGCACCACCTACAGAAACACAGGCTGCCTGCGGTGGGCACTCTGCTAGTCAGCTGGATGGTATCTGAATTGCTGCTGGGTGCCCACCTGAGTGCAGAAGGGAGGTGGCTGGAAGAAAAGGCACCGGGTACTCGAGCGGAACAAGGTGCCAGGTGGCACAGGGGAAGAGGGGGTGGGAAGCCCGG